AAACTGGTCAGATACATGACTTGTATTGTGAAGATATTAATTTTCATTCATACCTTTTCTACATTTGTTTACATGAGTATGGTTCATTGCTCTGGATTTGTTTAATATACGCATTTCTGTTGTAAAGCTGCTCAGCATTACTGTAACTGAACTCCTGCTAAAGTTTACTGTTTCTTCATGTGCTTTCTCTCACTGAGTATAGCATACAGACTTTTGATTCAGTGATGGATTAGATATGAACCACACATTTTCATTTAACAGAAATAAATCTTTATATATACTACATAACAACAGCCTTTGACAATGGAATGATTAGTGTGTTGATGAAAGTAAAGTAGCAGTGAATACCAAGGCTGCTTCTTGTTTATAGTAATTGGCCACATGCTTATACATTACACAATACATGCTATACCCTGCTTTCAAAACATGTCAAAAATTTCTGCCACTTATTTAATAGAATCTGCAGAATACCATATTTTATCTACTACATAACTTAATCTTTGCAGTAGTCAATAAATGGTAAATAGATAAAAATGTTGAGCACAAGCTGCCGGGGATGGCATGTAAATACATGTCATGTCCAGTATGAGTTTACTTTATTGAAAAAAAAAAGAAAAAGAAAAAAAAAGCTGGTATCTAATATTGCTGTCAGTAATGTCAATAACAACAAATCAATTATAAAGTCTATAAGCAAAATAACATCAGTATTGACAGCATTATTAAAAAAAAACATTTTTACAGCAAACTCAAGGAAAGGTGAATCAGGTGAGGTCACAAGGTCTACTAATTAACTCCTTTGTGGCTAAGCACTCGCAGAGCCATATATCTGCAGACACATTTTTAAAAACTATACTACGGTGAATGCAACATTTTCCTGGGGCATTTGGGTTAAGTACCAGATCTGCATATCTTTATATAAAAAAAAAAAAACAGCTCTTCTTAATGTTTTACCTTATTAAAGTACTTATTGCACATGTACAGCAGAACAATGATGCACAGTATAAAAATTGTGTGAGTGAGATAAAAAAGAAATACAAAGTCTACAATGCCTCTATATAAAATAATGTTTAAATTGATTGGTCTGATATCACACAATATTCCAAAGTCTGAAGATGTTTCTCATGACTTTGCATACCTTTACAGTAACCCTTTGACAGCAGTCCAAAGGGTACAAGGCAACTCTCACAGGCAGACACACTTCAGACAAAGTCCTATCTTAATGAAAATTAGTTTCCTCCTTATCAAGACAGTAATGGTAAAGAAATAATGTAGATAATGGCTGGAGTAGAGGTTACAGAAGGCAATTACCAATCACTAGGGATCCAAGGTCATGATATAGATTCAGAGTTTTAAACAATAGAGTCCACAAAGACACTAACTCTCTTTTGGCATTAACTGAAGATGGCTGGCGAGCATCAAGGAGTGTTTGAGTATCCACCCATGTTTTCTGCTGACATTTCTTGCTCAGGAAATTATACAAGCCCTCAAACATTAAAACTGTTACATCAGGCTCCCTCACTATGAGTGATGTAAAATTTCATCAGATGATGTGAAGTGAATGCAGTTTTTTAATTTCATCAGATGATGTGAAGTGAATGCAGTTTTTTTAAGTCTTTACTTTATTAAAAATACTAAGGTAAAAAGCTTTGGTGGCGATATAATTGACCCTGGTGTCTTTCCAAACCTGTTTGAAAAAGAAGTTATCTCTAATTACAAATGCATATGAAACTCTTCTCTATATTAAGGAACTAGACTCATTGAATATTTATACTTTAACTTTGAAAAAGATAACTACCATAATGATAAAATAATACATTTTGCTCTATAGGTGTTATTAATAATGATAATTTTCTTTAGGGATATAAGATGATATATTCAGGGCAAAGTTCACATGGTTACTCTGAAGAACTTGATCACATCATTATTGGAGAAATTTCAAAATAAATTAGAAATTCATTACAGATTTCATTTCGGCAAATTATCACTCATACTATTCTCAGTACTTCCTGACTCTACAGATTAAGACGATACATAACTGCTTTAACAGAACTGTGGTTATAAAGTGGAAAAAATCACAAAGAAACACTGAAATGCTTTATTCATATCATCTATTCATCACTTAAATATCCCTGCACATAATACATTCTTTACAATATATAAAGAAACAATAAAACAGACAAAGGAACAGATTTTTTCTTTTCAAAGTATAACTATAAATCATACTGATCTTAAATAAATATCACAAGTTCAAATGCAATACCAAATTCAACTTGTTTTTATCTTCACTATAAGGAACATTTGACTGAACTGACCTATGGATCTTTATTCTTCAATCATATGAAGTACTGATTAAAACAAAGTATCTGAAATGTAAGACACATTTCTTTAAACACTTACAACCATCAGTATAAATTAACTTAAAAGAAGAAACATTCATACATGCTAGCACACTACGAAAACATTTCTTCTAGCACAGGAACCAATGACTGGCAAAACCTAT